AATTATTATGGCTGCTCATGGAAACCATTGCTCTTCTTGAAATTAGTGTCAACTTGCAAAGAAGAGTTGGGAATTATGTATTCTTGGCTTTATTCTTTCATTAAGGGTAAAATAGAGAATTTGGTATTAAATTTGGCTATTTTTGCAAAGATAAAAAAAAAAGTGGACATTTTTGAATTGATATATGTGAAAGTGGAAATTTTTGCAAATACCTCTTTAATAATTACGAAGTTTTCAATTTATCAACTTTTAGCCAATTGGACTAAAAGGTCCAAAAATTTGTTTATCCACTTATTGACGTACTAAATTACAGGGGACACTTCCAAGCATTTTGTTGTGAACTTTCGATGTGGAATAAAAATTCTTTTAGTTTGGCTGTAGTGTGTTATAGTATTGTATAAATTGTTATTTATATTTTTATTAAGTTAATTTGTCATTTTTCCTTCAATTAGCACTATTACACTACGCCCTTGTTTGAGCTCCATTCTTCTAAAAATTCTTTTTTTCAAAATTCATTTTCAACTACATATTCTTCAATAAAATAATGTTTCACGTAAATTCAAAACTTTTCTTTAATTTTTAATCACACATTCTCCATCAATCTACTATTCAAAATGCATTATTTCCCCCAAAATGAGCCTCAAACAAGGACTATATATCTTGTTTATAGTTCAAAAATATATTTATTTTGTCAGGTTTTAAAAATTGCATTTAGTATTATAATTTGTATATATTATTAAATGATTTTTAGATTGACTAGTCAAAATTGAACGTACATTGCACGTTATTCTAAAATACTTTATAAGTGATGTAAAAGTAATATTTATTTCCAATTTGTTGGAGGAACATTATTCTAAAATACCTTATAAGTAATGTAAAAGTAATATTTGGTTTCAATTTGTTGGAAGATTTGATGAGTCTCAAACAAATTAAAGAAAATAAAATTTACCATAAAAATTTAAGAGAATAAAATTGTACTCTCAAAACTTAATTTTTATGATTCAAATTTTTTGTAATGATGAAATACTATAATTGAGAAATCTTTTTATATTACATTTGATATATAAAAATTAATTGTTAACACATAAATTTAAGCACCCACTAAATTTTTTAAACATAAATATGAATAAATTCATCTATAATAACTCTAGATTCATATAATTCAAAATTCATCGAATCTAGATTAATGTGAATGTTAATTAATTAAGAACTAAAAACACAAATTTTATAAACAACAATAATTATGTAGTATTTATTACATATTGAAAAATGAAAAATAAGGTATTATTGAAATAACTGAATTGTAGGAGGGTTAAAATCGTCCATAAAATGATTCTCCCTTGATGTGATACTTTCATATATTATAGATTAAAACTTTAAAATAATTTTAAAATAAGAAAAAGTTTTTAAAGCTTTTTTACGACTAAGTCTTGCCTAGGCTCACCTAGCCCAAAGCTTGAACTCCACCCATGCCATTACGCTTTTTAGAACACTAGTTTTAGTGAATGACATTTTTGGTTGTCTATAGAAATTATCCGAGTCATATACGTGGCCGAATGACAATCGTTGGATGAAGGGCCTTTGGCTATCTCTTGTAAAAGGGATTGGCCTTCACACATTTAGCCGTTATTTGGTACCAATTAAAATCTAGAGTTAATATAAGTTAAAGTTAAAAAATTCATTTCAACCACATATTTTACGTGTCTCATCACTTTTCAATTACACATTTTATTAACTTTTATCAAAAGTTATTAAAAATATGATTTTAATCTCCACCAAATAGGGGCTTAGTGTGTGCACAACTTATGGTTTTTTTCCTTGTTAACTACGACAAAAATGACATTTTACAACATTAAAATGGCAATATTTGTTAATTGAGTGTTGTTAAAGGGGTTTGTTGCAACATTTTAATAAATGAATGTTGCTATTGGTTAACATAATAGAGTTTTGGCAACACATTTTAAATAAAATGCTGTTAATGTCGCCTTTTGTAACTTTTTTTAATGTTACGAAATGTTTCATTTTTTTCAACATTTTTTGAACGTTGTTAAAATCTGGTTTTATAGCAACGTTCTATGCATGTTGCTGAAACTCTAATTAATACATAACATTTTCCAACGTTCACTGATTGTTGTAAAAAGTTTCACTTTTTGTAACGTTTTTTGAATGTTGCGAAAAGTTTCAATTTTGGCATCGATGGACGCTGGTAAAATCCAATGGAATTAATTTATATATGGGCTTAAATTGAAGAAGCCCAAAATAATTCAAACTTTATATTATTCATGCACCTCACGCACAGAGACCCATCCCAACCAAAATAATTCAGACTCTAGATTATTCACACACCTCACACAGATTGAGAATTATCATTGCCTCACACATAGAGGCTAAGGGTGTGTTCTTTTTGCCATTTTCTATTTTTGATTTTTTAAGACGGTGAAAAAGCGTTCTCTTTTTCGTTTTCGAAAATCAAATTTTTGAAAATGAAAAACAATTTTGTAAAGAAAATGTAAAACGTCAATTTGGACGTCTTGGACGTTTTCTGTACAAAATCCAAAATTTTTTGAAAACACGGGAAACAGGAAGAGAAACTCATTCAAGCCCGTCTCTCTTCCCAAATAGCCGTCTCTTCATTCTCTTTTGACACCGGCTTCTCTCCCAAACACTGCAATTGACAATGAAGAAGATGCACCAATGTCGGCACCGGTTTGGGGAGGCGACGCTGTTGTGAGCGAAGCCTCGCGATGGATGTTGATTTGCACGTTTGGGTGATTTTTTGGTTTTTAGATTTGGTGGCGATGGGTGTTGGAAAAATGTGGAAGTGGTAGGCCCTCTTATTGTATTTAATGTATGTGTAAGTGGATTAGTTCTTGGCTGTTCGTTCTTGCAAAGATAAGACTTTATCGGCTCTGCCTTGCAGCGGCGGTAACACTGGGTGACAGTCTTTGAAGAAGATTTTTCAGGTATATTAAATAATTTTAATGGGATTTTCTTGATGACTATCAAATTGTTTTGGTAAAGATGACTAATCTTTATGCTTTCTTTATGATTAATTATTTCTTGTTATCAATTTTAGTCATTTCTTTTTAAGAGGTGGATCATCTACATATATTATATGCTTTTTCCATCTAAAATTGAATTTCGGGGTCTGATTAAGTTAAATGATTCAGATGACAGTGCAAATATCCACATTTTCTGTTTGATTAATCACTCTGTTCAACTAGACAATTAAGGCGCTTTAATATTCTTACTATATATAAAGAACTTTTAGTGGCCAGTACTTGACACACACAGAGATATGAGGGGGGTTATATCACTTTTGTTGAATCAATATAATTTAGGGAATTGGGCAGTTCTTTGCCCATTTTCATTTGAGGTTTTTGGGAAGGTAGTTGGGAAAAAAAATTATATGGATTTTTCTTAATTATAGCGAGAAGTCTCTTTATCTCCAATATAAGGAGATCTCTTTCCAAGACATGAGCGATCTGAGGTATTAGTGTTTGTTCAATTACTATAAGGAATGCATTCAAAATTAGGGGGCTGGGTTAGTTAATCATTAAAGCTTCATTACTCTTTCCCTTTCTTTTGCTTTTTAATGGTATTGTATTCTTCTGTGGCCTTTACAACCACCGTTATTGGATTTCTGTGTAGAAGGATTTTCCTCGTTGTTATAGAAAGTTTTTTAATTGATCTTTCAATGTATACAAGAACTTATGCTTCATTTTGTGCAATATGGAAATTGAACAAGTATTGTGTTGGCTAATTTGTGTCTAAAGTTTCAATTGGGAATTTAGTTATCCAAAACAAAATGAGAACTTATTTGTAAGTTGATTCCGTCTATATATAACATTATGAATTGATTAACTAACAAACATGATAGTGCGTTTGTCTCTATTGTGTTTTTTAGTATGCTACATTTATGGTCTTCTTAAGTAAAATTTTGAGCCGCCATCCCTTCTTCTGTGCATTTTCATGATGAAATTTGAGGGTTATGTGTATTTTATAACCATAGAATCAGAATCAGTGTAGCAATTGTCTCTTTGGTAATGAGTTTTGTTATGAAATATGTTGATTTAGACGGGGCTGTGTAAGCTGGACTTGGTAATTTGTGCAACTTCTGTTTAGCTATAATTTATCTTTTTCTCAATGAAACTATATTGTGAATAGAAAGCACAAGCAGACAATGTATGTATTGCTTCCTTCAATTGGAATTGCAGTGGAATTCACAAGTTAGCAGAGAAGATCAAATTTGCACAACCAGTTTGTGATTGGAAAACACAGGTTATGGAGCCACAGCATGTTTTGCACACATTCTTTTGCATTAGAATAGAATGAATGTTTCCATCAAAAAAAAAAATGAATAGAGGGGATGCTATTTTTTTGGATATGATACTTGATTGTGAGTATAATAGCATCAAATGACAATAGAATTTTGAAGAAATTTGTACACCCGAGGTTTTAATGAAGATAAGTTTTACATTTTACGAATATGTTTCATGTTATTGAATTTCGATTTATGTTTCTGTTTCAGTTTGGTCATTCCGTATTTATTCTATATTTTTCATTGCTTGCGCAGTGATGGAAATGAAAAATAATTACAAATGGAATTAGTTTTAAGAACTTCAAACAATCCGTAAAATATGGACGAGTCGTTAGTGTTAATCACGGAGACGTGCATAATTGTCAAAATAGAACAAAAATTGAAGTTGGTTACTAGTTTAAAATAAAAATAAAATCTAACGGCTAATACTGGGTGTTAATGCTATATTAACACTAAACTATTAAAATTTATTGAATAATCAAATTTCTTGAATAAAATATTTTAAAAAATTATTCTGAAATTCTCAAAGTAAACACGTTTTTCAGTTTTATGTTTTGAGAAACCGTTTTTCAAAATGACAAAGAGAGCGTATTTTCAGCAATTTCAAAACAGGCGCTCAAAACACAAAACTCAAAATGAATTCAAAACTCAAAACTACAAACCTCAACCACAAGAGTAACCCTAATCTTCTTACAGTACCTACCTCACCCTCGCCATCCTCGTCACATCCACACAGGGCGACGAAAACCTTTCCATCACAGCCTATAACTCCTCTAGTCTTATTACTTCTCGATGGGGCTCCTCCTAAAAGGCATAACCCACTATGATCTCGATAAAGTCATTGAAAAATTCATTACATATTTTAAAGGTTCCTCTGTTTCTCTCTTAGAGGCTGATACTAGCTAAAGTACAATTCCAAGATCGATGTGTACATCTTCGAAGGTAAGCTGACCAGCCTTTCTGAGGTTAGTGTTAAATTGTTTTTCCTTTGGTTTAACATCGTTGACGTTGTGAGGAATGGGGATAATCTTGAATTTTCTATTGGAATTGCATCTGCAGATTTTCGATTGATAATTTTTATGGGTGCCAGCGATGTGTATGGTAGATGTGGATTGATTTACGAAGGTGGTTATAAGAATGTGCCAAAAGGGATTTTAGAATTAATCCATATGCTTTTCCAACCTAGCATATATGCAGAAGTCAAATAGATTTATGGGTTTTGAAAATATCAATTATTCACTTAAATAATTTCACATACAAGCTGAAATTTAATTATTTTACTGGTTTTAAGTCATGTAGTGACAATTAAATGTTGATAATTCTCATCTAGTTAATTTAGAATTTTGGGCAACCCTTGAAAAGGTAGATTGCCTTTTCTTATATGTTTGGGTAATTGGCGCAAAACGTCCATGTCTTTCGAGGTTATTGTGGAAAACGTCCATATCTTTCATTTTTTGGCATTTTTGCCCTTATTTGAACCTTTCGTTGTGCTGAAGGTCCTTTTAACTATTTTGGAACGGAAAATGATAATTATACCCTCTTATTAAAACAAAAAACTAAAAAAATAACGAAGAAAAATTCAAAACTAATTGCAACCCTACCCCTAAACTTTTAAAAAAGCGCAAATGAGTCCCCAATATTTAAAATATTGAAAATAACAAAAAGAACACTTTCTCTTCTCTTCCTCCCCCCTCCACTTCCACATTTCAAGCCAAAAAACTCAGGCCAACCACTGGATCTCCATACCATCGGAAATCTCTCACTCTCCTCTACACATACGACCCATGAATTCACAACAATTCACCGTTCTGATAATTTCCAAGTCGAATGGTTGTCTTTCAAACTATTTTTTAAGTCCAATTCTATCGCTCCAAAAATTTGAGATGATTCAGCAGTTGGGTTCTTTAAACTGAAATATGTCGGCAATGACTCCAAAATCGACAAGTTCTGGAGTCGCCATTAATGGCCAAACGAGTTCTGCCAAAGTTAATAGGCCTAATTCTACAATGATTAATCAACAAAATTGCCTTGGTGCTGAATTCGGCCTGGAAAATCGACAAGTTTTTGGTGGTCTTCAAGAAATCAAGGCTGGAATTTCGAATCCGGGCTATCTAGAATCCATTGATTGCTTGTTATCAGCAACCAACAGCAAAACAGAACATCAGTTGATTGGCTAAGATTTCCATGCTTTTCTCTGATTGCAAAGACTCATGGAATCCAAATTCAAGCGCCCTCATCAAATCAGACGGCACATCTGCATCCACTGTAAAACATTACACCAACAAAACAGTATCACAAGCTTCGACTGATGAATATGTCATTCAATCCAGTTTTTCAGGTGCTAATAATAAGCCTAGTCCTAACAAGAGAAGCAGATCAGAAAGTCAACTGATCAAACCAAATGGATTACAGTTCCAAAATCTTGATTTTCATCAGTCGAATCGTTCGTCTAATCCTCAGAAATCCAAGAAGTCCAGATCAGATTATCATTCAAATTCATCAAACACAAACTTCAACCTGCCTATCTCATCTGCATCCTCCATGGATGAACCCGATTCACAAGCTATCGAGCAAATGAAAGAGATGATTTATCGGCTGCGACCTTTAGGCTAGTGAATTGTTCTGAATTAATTTGGGGACTCAATTCTTTTTTATAAGTCTAGGGTTAGGGTTGGAATTTGTTCTGAATTTTTCTTTTTTTTTTTTGGTTTTTTGTTTTAATAAGAGGGTATAATTGTCATTTTCCGTTCCAAAAGAGTGAAAAGGACCTTCAGCGCAACGAAAGATTCAAATAAGGGCAAAAATACCAAAAAATGAAAGGTAAAGACGTTTTCCACAATAACCTCTAAAGGTAGGGACGTTTTGTGCTAATTACCCTATATGTTTCTTCTTTTTAATGGCAAGTTGCCATTCGACTCATTCATCATCTATTAGGTAATATCCAAACTTTCTGTTCCAGTTACAAGTGGGAAAATTCTCACTGTTGAGGATCTTCAGCAAGAGCTAAAATGCAACATCAATATCAAGCCATAGGTTTTTGTCCTGCCACTGCACTATTCTTGATGTTTTCTTAATGACTTAATCATTATGGTGGCTTTAATGTTGATTTTCACTATTGATACAGTTACAAATCCATGCCAATAAAAGGAAAAATTTATGTGTTCAATCACCGTGTTTAGATGTAACAAGAGTTTTTTTCTTAATCTTTGCAGTGGAGTAAAAAGAAATTATTTGTGATAGGAGAAATTTATGTGTTCAATCATCGTATTTAGATGTAAACGAGATTTTTCTTCATTTAGGTATGCTTATTGTCCTTATCTTCATTCCAACATAGTTTTTACGGATTGCAATACATCAACTAAACATATGAATATGTAAGTACTAACAATTTCCTTGAACAACAGATTTTGGGTAGTGAAAAGTCCTTTGATTTTGACGTGGAAATAATTGTGAATATTATATGCAGGTGAAGAGAATGAGGGAAGAATGTAGAAAACTGGAGATTGAGAAGAAAATTAAGGATGTTGGTGTGGCTATTTTACTCACTGCATAAGGTTTTCAGTATTTTTTTTTCCTTTTTTGGGAAATGTATTGATTTTTTAGGTGTTTCAGAATTTTGGATCTGAATTTTGTATGGATATTATTATATTTTGGAGTTCAATTTATAATAATTATTGGATTAGTTTGATATTGTTATCTTTTATCTTGTTTCTTGGTTAATTTGTGTAAGTTGTTGTACAAATAAAAAAAATGCAAATTTAAAAAAAAAAATTAAAATCATCTATGGCAACAATGAACAAATGTTACAAAGAATAAATATACAAGCATAGACGACATTTCAAAAATGTTGCAAGCAACATTTTAAAAAGTTGCAGAAAGGTTATTGACAATATTAAAAAACGCTGCAAAAAGATTATTGGCAAAATTTAAAAAACGAGCAAAATATTATTGGCAACATTCAAAAAAGTTGTTGTATCCTTTTACTCTATGATAATATTGAGATTTGTAATATACGTCCAAATCGTTGCAAAAGGTCTTCAACAACATTTTCTGAACGTTGCAAAAGGTTAATTTTGTTATAGTGGTTTTTGCTCTCTAAAATTCTTGTTCTTCTTAGTGAAATTTTAAGTGGGTTTTGTAGTGTACTAGGTGTAGACAAATGATAAGAGTAGTATGTTTACCTTGACGAACAACTGGTATAATTTGGATAATGCAAGAGAAGTATTGAAAAAATTAGAGATTTTCATACATTTGTATTGAATGATTATTGGTTTGGACTCAAGTATTAGAGCTCTATCTAGATTGTAGACGCTCAACGGGTGAGTATCATCTAGAAGAATATGAACATCTAGAACCATTAGTGGGTGAAAAGAACTTATGTTCATTCTTTAATTTTCTGCACATCTACTTTGTTAATTTTTGGTTTAAATGATGCTTTGGGGCCAACGGGGTTGAAAGCACATCGACTAAAGTAAATTGCATTGAATCCTTTTTTATGCAAGCTCTCGATCAAAATTACTCTACCCAATTACATCAAGTAATGTTATTTAGCACCATCGGTGTGAAAATATCAGTCTATATGATATTAATATGGTGTTAAATAAGAGGACAATTAATTGAGTCACTTAACCATTTATTAAGCCAATCACATGGGCATACACAGATTGGTATTATAGCACAAGTGGTGCTAGATAATATTATACAATTACATCTCCTCTATGAAATGAAGGTAGACATTACAAAAAAGAGTTTTAAAGAATAAAAAAAAATATTAATTCTTCTCTTCTTCTAGTAATGATTAGTCTCATTGCATCTCTCATTTGGAGTTATGTCTTTCTAACCCACACTTATTTCATAAACTGTCTTCTTACACCAAGATTTTCATGTACTTACCTTGTGAACTCTTACTTCTGGAAAACTCTATTCGGACAAAACCTGCAAGCCTATGGGATCGTTGACAAATAATAAAAATCAGTGAGTTTCGGGTTTATCGTTCCCATGAGGAATAAAGTTTAATAGCTACTATCAAATTTGAAGTATAGTGGCATCAAAATAAATCGTTTGTATGTTTTCTATACTAATCCTAAACTAATAGAATAAATAAAATATTTGTCTGATATGTGAATATTTGCATTACAATCCTGAATTCTCTTACTGCTATTTAATTTAATTCTTAATTCGTAATCTAGTAAATTCATGGATTCAAAACAATAGATAATCCACTTTTATTCAATATCCTTTTTCAAGATATATTAAACTTATATTTAACACAAACTGATCCTATTTCTAGTTCTAGTTCTAGTTCATATGAAAACCATGCATTTATTCACAGGATTTATCAAACATGACTGCACATGCCATTGATATTATTCTTAATACCTATTTTCAGTGTGTTGATTTTGCCACGTTCTAGACTTGTTGTGAGTATTCCTACACTACAACAATCGACTTAGTATCTAATTGATAATCAAGCAATCAAATAGTTCAATGGAAATGTAAAACTAATCAAGAAAAATCAAGAAATACTAAACTAATTGTCTTGAATTAAAATAAACAAATAATAGGGTTCACTACTCATCCAATACAATGAAAAACTTAGTCTTAGTCTAACATTCTTATATTAAACAAGAATAATTGGAAAAAAAAATACTCGAAAATAAGAAAGCTAGAAGAAGCAGGAGGAATCCACGTTCTTGCCTCAACTCTTAAAATCGGGCTATGAATCTTCAACATCCTTGTATGATTCGCCTTGAAATGATGTATAGACTAGTTCTTCGTCTCCAAAATATGTAGAATATGATAAAATTTAGGTCGAATAAAGATTTCTCACGTCCTTGTAAGGAATGTTATGACAAAAAAACAAAATATCTTTTAGTTTTTTTGTCATAACATTCTCTTTCGATATCCGATTGAAATGATTAAAAGTGCATTGAGAAGCTAAATCAGAGGGATACTGTTCGCAAAATTATTTGTTTCGATTTTAAATCCACCGCAAGTGTACAGTTCGTTAACAAGTAGTAAAATGAACTATAAGTCCAAGTATCGATCCCACGAGGATTGAATTAGTTCGAATTAATCTAATATGACCTTAACCGAAACACGACAACCAAATGGCGATTTTGTACTTTAACTAACAAAATGTAATCGTTGATACAATTATGGAAGAAGAATTATACTAAGTTCAAAATAAATTGGATGCAATTTAACTAGAATTTTGTAGAATGAATGGATGTTCTAACACACTAGGATCACGAATCTCCAAGCAATACCCGTTCAATTGTCATTTATGCAAATTTGACACACAATTCCACAAAAGATGAATCGATATTCCTATTTTAATTTAGCAATCTCTCTCGAGCAATGCCAAATCTATCCCAATATATGATTCATTTATATTTCTATGACGAATACTAATATACCGACATGCATTATAAATTCACGAATATCCAATAATTCACACAAGGCATAGAGGTATATTTCTATCATCTATCGGACCCTATGATGATTTATACTATGTCGAACCTATTTTTCTTCTTTCGAATGCATAAAACAGGTCACCACAATCATATGATCACGTGCACAATAATTATATGAAAATAAAAATGAAATAAATCAATTAATTCCGGAATTTGTTTTCACATACGTCAAAAATCCAAAACAACAATTAAACGTAGTATTACAAGGTTCATCGATCTCCTAGTAGTGATAAATCTAGCCTAACATGCTAAAAAGAACAAAACTTAAAAATATTTGAAGAAACGACATCACCTGAATCAATCTTCAATCCGATCTTCAATTGGCGCGATGTTGTTATCTTGTTCTCTCCCTCGTTTCTCCTTCAAAATCTTCCAAAAACATGTAAAAAAGGCATCCCCCTCGTTCTGGTCGAGTTTTCGTATTTATAGGACCCTAAAATTGTTGTTTCCATAAGAGTTTCGGAAGAAAAAGGAAACTAAATTTTTCCTCAATTTTTGTTCTATGCGACCGCATAGAGCAATTCTATGCGGTTGCATAGAAGAAATTTTTCAGGCGTTTTTGGTTTCGGTATGGTACTATGCGACCGCATAGAGGATAGTACTATGCGATACTATCAACTATGGTAGAAATTGTGTTTTGGTCCCCCACTTGCATCCTTCACTTCTTAGCACCTTCTCTTCATTCTTTTCATTTCATCACCCCAAGATATCGTCAATTGGTAATTGGCCTAATCGATTTCTCAATTTGTTCATCGGATCAACTTTTGGTTATTTACACTTTTGGTCCCTGAACTTTTACTTTGCATCACTTTAGTCCTTTCGCATCTTTTCTCCTGAATTTCACCATGTTCATCGTTGTTTCCTACAATTCACAAATGTATAAGATTAAGTCACAATTCAATCATTTTGCTCGTCTTTAAGTCATGTTTGTGACCTAAATAAGTGTACAAAAACACACTTATCAAACCCCCAAACTTGAACTATTTAAAAATAGTGACTTAATTCTGAACAAACATAGCTTAATACCCTGTTGTGGCTCAGGATTGGACTGAGTATTTAAAAATTTATCTGTGCAAACATGACATCAACCTTTACCTGTTTAATGCAAATTGACGTGCGTGTGTGAATTCATGCCAACATATCAGATTTATGATGAATCTGAGTCCCGACCCCAAGTGGTCAATATCTTTACTCGCTCGAGAGATACACAACCCCACAGACTTATTCTTTTCACTCAATTATCCCATGGTTGTGTTTTAAGATTAGGAATTTATATAGTTGTAGTCATCACCCTCTCGTAGTTCGGATTTAGCATTACTATCACAAGTCTACATTTCAAAAAGTGAAGGCTCTTCTAGATTTGATTGCTTTGACACTCAAGATCAAGCTAGATTACTTGTCTCGCCTCAGAGGTACAGTCTCTTTGACCAAATGTCTAAGGGCTTTTCGTCATGTTTTGTCTCTCTTTTGTTTTTCTCACATTTCTTTAATTTTTGATTGATTTTCATCTTCTCAACTGCTTTCTATATAACCCATGTAACGAGTTTTAGGCTAGTGACTCCCAAACCAGTTTGCTGTAGGGCACCAGGTTTTAAACCCTTGCAGGCTTATTCACTCGAGTTATAAAGGCTCGATGAGATGACTTTTTATTAACTCATTTTCCTCTTGCTTTCTATATGACCCATATAACGAGCTTTGGGCCGGTGACTCCCAAACCAGTTGGTTTTAGGGTACCAGATTTTGAAATATCCTTACAGGCTTACTTGCTCGAGTCATAAAGGCATGAAAAGAAGTGTTTTATTCTCACATATAAAAATTGTGCCCTTTGTCATTTTTCTAGACATTTAGTTTCCAAAACCAACCCCCAATTTAAGATTTTCACCTAGTCTTCATCCCAGTGGTCTAGGCAATCCACACAATAAATTTCATGCACGGAGCCCCCGCTCATCTCAATGCTTTCCTGTAATAGCTCAACTATCACCAAACTATCTTTAGGTAATTTATGGGTTAATTCAATAGAGGGTTATCATTTTTTTCCTACTTTATGCTCAAAATTGAGTCATTCACCTAATATGTCAAGCATGAATAGCGTACATAGATAATGTCAAGTGTTGCATCAACAAGTATCAATTAATCTAATTAACACCAGATCCAAAGTTTTGCAGTTTAAACTAGTTCAATAATAACATCATAGCGAACAAGGTTATTAAAC